GCCATCGGAGCGCGTTCCGAAGCCGCCTGCGAACGATCTTGGACGGGGCGGAAGGCTCGAGCTTGCGGTTCGTGGTCCCCCTCTGGGCCCCCTCTTGGGCCCGTCTTGGGGCCCTCTTGGGCCATCTTGGGCGCCTCTTGGGCCGTCTTGGGGCCCTCTTGGGCTGTCCTGGGGCCCTCTTGGAAGCTTCTTGGGCCGTCTTGGGGCGGTCTTGGGCGCCTCTTGGGCCGTCCTGTAACGTCGGAAAGCCCAAAAGACAACTTTGTTGAACATGTACGTTTTACGAAGGGAATGGGCCAACTTTTGCGTCTGGGGGCCCTCTTGGGACGCATGTTGGAGGCTTCTTGGGGCGTCTTGGGGGCGTCCTTGGACGTCTGGGGTCTCCTGGGGCCTCTTGAGGGGCCTCCTGGGGGCCTCCTGGCGGCCTCTTGGGGCGGAAGGCTCGAGCTTGCGGTTCGTGGTCCCCCTCTGGGCCCCCTCTTGGGCCCGTCTTGGGGCCCTCTTGGGCCATCTTAGGCGCCTCTTGGGCCGTCTTGGGGCCCTCTTGGGCTGTCCTGGGGCCCTCTTGGAAGCTTCTTGGGCCGTCTTGGGGCGGTCTTGGGCGCCTCTTGGGCCGTCCTGTAACGTCGGAAAGCCCAAAAGACAACTTTGTTGAAAATGTACGTTTTACGAAAGGAATGGGCCAATGTTTGCATCTAGGGGCCCTCTTGGGACGCATGTTGGAGGCTTCTTGGGGCCTCTTGGGGGCGTCCTTGGACGTCTGGGGTCTCCTGGGGCCTCTTGAGGGGCCTCCTGGGGGCCTCCTGGCGGCCTCTTGGGGCGGAAGGCTCGAGCTTGCGGTTCGTGGTCCCCCTCTGGGCCCCCTCTTGGGCCCGTCTTGGGGCCCTCTTGGGCCATCTTGGGCGCCTCTTGGGCCGTCTTGGGGCCCTCTTGGGCTGTCCTGGGGCCCTCTTGGAAACTTCTTGGGCGGTCTTGGGGCGGTCTTGGGCGCCTCTTGGGCCGTCCTGTAACGTCGGAAAGCCCAAAAGGCGACTTTGTTAAAAATGTACGTTTTACGAAGGGAATGGGCCAATTCTTGCGTCTAGGGGCCCTCTTGGGACGCATGTTGGAGGCTTCTTGGGGCCTCTTGGGGGCGTCCTTGGACGTCTGGGGTCTCCTGGGGCCTCTTGAGGGGCCTCCTGGGGGCCTCCTGGCGGCCTCTTGGGGCGGAAGGCTCGAGCTTGCGGTTCGTGGTCCCCCTCTGGGCCCCCTCTTGAGCCCGTCTTGGGGCCCTCTTGGGCCATCTTGGGCGCCTCTTGGGCCGTTTTGGGGCCCTCTTGGGCTGTCCTGGGGCACTCTTGGGAGCTTCTTGGGCCGTCTTGGGGCGGTCTTGGGCGCCTCTTGGGCCGTCCTGTAATGTCGGAAAGCCCAAAAGGCAACTTTGTGAAAAATGTACGTTTTACGAAGGGAATGGGCCAATTTTTGCGTCTAGGGGCCCTCTTGGGACGCATGTTGGAGGCTTCTTGGGGCGTCTTGGGGGGCGTCCTTGGACGTCTGGAGGCCATCTTCAGCATCTCGGAGCCCTCTTGGAGGCCTCTTGGAAGTTTCTTGGGCCGTCTTGGGCGTTTCTGGGGCCGTCTTGTCTGACTGGGGAGGCCTCCGGCAAGCCCCGACGAGCCTCCGGGGCCCCCGGGGTGCACATTTGCGGTCGAGGTCCCGGCCCCGGGCCCCCGGACCCGGTGCGCCGTTATATGTATATATACTAGAACCACGCGCGCGCTTCTCGCGCGCTTAGATTCTGTCGAGTCACAGACCCAGGAATCCCTCCTCCTCCTTCTCCTGCCCTCCACAATTACTCAATATGAATATACTCTCCCTCTTCCCGTGATGGCGTCCGGGTGATGGCCGCGCACCCTCCGCGTACTGTCTTTTTACACACAGGATGCCCGGGAAATCCCGGGAAACGACTCTCGCTGAGGCGCCGGCGTCATTTGTTTCCAAAGTGCTGCTCTCGTTGAGGCGCCGCCCTCATTTCTGCTCCCGAATCGTTCCGAATCGTGCTCCCGCTGCAGCGTGGGCCTCATTTTCGGATCGGTGTTTGGCCTCCGTCGTTCAGGATGGCGTTCTCGCCCCAGCGCGGGCCTTTTCTCGCGCGCCCATCCGCCCGCCACCACCGCGCCGCACCGCCACCACCACCACCACCACCACCACCACCCACCACAACCACCACCAGCACCAGCACCAGTACCACCACCACCAGCACCACCACCACCACCACCACCACCACCACCACCACCACCACCACCACCACCACCACCACCACCACCACCACCACCACCACCACCACCACCACCACCACCACGACAACCACGCACACACGCACGCACGCACGCACGTGCACCACCACCCACTACGCACGCGCGCGCGGAGCCACAGGTCCGCTACGACACGCGTCCGCGGATAGAGACAATCAGCGCCATGGTAAGGGATGGGAGGGAGGGGTAGGACGTCAGATATGACG